ATTATTAACAAAATTTAAATAAAAACTTTTTTGATTAAAAATAATTTTAATCTGTAGAATATGTATCATTTTGTTCAATAATATTTTCTCTCTTTCGGATAATTAATTCCTCGCTTATAAAAGTTCTGGGCTTTTGAACATCATCTACTGAAAAATTCGCACAGACTTTCTGAACAATTCAATAATTTATTGCACATTAGATAATAACATTAGATAATCTAAGTACAATATAATGTTAGAATGTTAATGGTCAAATATGAATATTTGCGACAAACCAAGAGGGAGGGATAGAAATTCAAAGGAATTTAGTACAGAAGAAAGTCATTTTCGATTAAGGTCTTATACTTCATATAATTTTTTAAATGTCCACAGTTCAAACAAATTGTGCGCTGATTATTTGTTGGTCTTGAAATACAGTCTTGCACAAGTGCAATGACAGAAAGTTGACAAATAATTCAATATTATTGACACTAATAAGCAATAAATTATTTACAGTGCTTTAAAGATGCTTTATTAATATCAATAATATTAAATTGCTTGACGATTTAATTCGTAATATTTTGTAGTACTCCAGCTTCAGTCTAAAACTATGTTTCAAGATCGACGAATAATTTCGGCGCGTAGTTTGTTTAAACTGGAAATTGTAAAAATTCACACAATACTATTAATACACAATATTATTAAGCACTAAGACCTATGTTGACCCGAATATGGCCCCCTTCATTCACTTTTCGCATAAATTAATGAATATGTAATAGATAACACAAATATGTTAAACTCACGTGTCACCGTCATCGTCCTGCATATAGTAAAGTTGCCAAATACTCTCGTTAATTATTGCACATTTCTTGACATCTTCTTGCTGATGCTCTTTGAGCAGAAGGTCGTCCCTCAGATGCTGTCTTAGTCTTTGGTTCGATTTGGATCCCGTTTTTACGGGCATTAGTTCAAAGATTGCCGTCGGCTCGGATTGAACTCCGCTGGCAATAGCGAGGGGATTCAAGCCAGGCAATTGAACGGGCTGCTTTTGCAAGATGAGCTGGTTCAGGCCTTCGTTGAGGTCGACATCCACGACGCCGCTGTCGACGATCGCCACCACCGATAACGGCGATACCGAGCTCGTCTCTCCCGATGTCGACGTGACTCCTTCATTTATCCGCCAATTGTCTTCCTGCCGCAGCTGTGATACACAAGACTCGCGAATCTCGTTGCTGACCTGCATATTGCCGGCCGATAGAAATCCGGAATCAACATTATCCTTCACAAACTCGTCGTCATTGTCGTCGTCGTCGTCGTTATTCTCATCGTCCCGCAATCTCTTCTCGTCGGCTCCTCGAGCACGCTCCTCCTGAGCGCTCTCGCTGAAAGAGCACCACATTTTTGATCGATCCTCGCGATCCTGGTCGCGGAGCGGCGGAAAAAGTGTTTCTTTTCAACTTGAGAAATCGCTCGTTCGGAAAATAAATAATAATCAGCGCACCGTCACTTTCGTACTATGCCGCGCGATACGACATGACAGTAAATGCCTTTTTTTTCTTTCCTAATTATATTTCTAATAATTCTAATCCGTAAAATTTGTTACGGATTTGTGACGTTCCATTTGCCTTCTCTATAATTTGTGTCCGACGCAAAATTCTCTTTTGGTATGAATACTTGCTTCGTATTATCTTTCGTTGTTACGCACTGTATATAAGCTATTGTACATCGTCGATTCTTTCGTCGATACACTTTCAAGTCGCTCGTAAGTCGAATCTCCTCGGCATCTTTCTTGTTCGCTCTCAACCAACGCATATATAACCAGCCTTTGATTCCTTTCTTCCTATTTTTAATTGTTACTCTCCACTTTGAAATGTGAGCGTATATTTATTCTTCTCTTTTTTTCCTTTTTTTCTTCTTCAATCTGAAGGTTTGTCAGCTGTGGACGTAGTACTATTCTGTTTTACGTCATTTGCTGCACCAGGAGAATTAAGATTTGGGCTGATTTCTGTTGCGAAGAGATAGAAAGCGCAGATGGAAAGCGACTTGATCGAGTTTGTCGTTGTGACAGCGAATCGTGGTCGTGCGAATATTGCAAGCATCCGCAAACCTCATCGTCTCACGTCTCGAAACGAACTGCGAAGTGCGAACAAGTGCGGAGTAAATGAGCGAGTTGACTCGAGCGTCAAGCGAATGATAACAAAATCGTGCCGGATGAGACTTTCCGCTTTCGTGCGCACGCGCAAGAAATGTCATTGACCACGTGACCGATCTTGACATGTCTGTACCATAGTGCTGTACGCAAAGCGTATCCCTATATGGGACCTATCATAATTATAAAGTATAAAGAAAAATTGAGTCCCGGTGAAATAAGTTGATTCTCATATGTTGTAACTTATAACGTGAATAAAAAAATGTTATATTATGTATATATATTCACACACACACGCGCGCGCGCGCGCACACACACGCACATATAATGAATATCAAATGATGGATATAGTCTTCAGCTATCAAAAGTGTAAAATCACCTCACAGAGCACCTCTATTGATACCTGGCCCATACAGCTTAGATCTCCAGAGCTATGTCCTGAGGACATTCAGACAATGTCCGCATGTTATTTGAACATGATCCTAAGAAAGTCCCCGGGATGTATCTCGGATAAAATGTAATGTATAGAACTATATATGGCTAAAAAACTGTCCATTGACTTTTTAATTATTTGTGTCTATATGACACTTTTTTTATTTACCACATTATGAGCTACATCACATGTGAAAATTCCTATTTTGTCGAGATCCAATTTTCCATGTAAGACATAACATAATGTATCGATATAATGTATATAATGTATATAATGTATAATGTAACACAATTCAAAAATATACTTGACGGGAGATGCTCTACTGCGTGTGTTTCCTGATATAATATATAATGTACCAAAAAATAAAATCTAAAACAAATGTTACAACATAAAATAATCTCAATTCTTTTCCTTTGTATAATTTACAACAAATTAATAAATAGTAAACTCAGATCAACAAATTCAAGAAGCTATAATTAGATGTAACAAAGTAATATTTTTTATTTACAAATTATAATTTTTGACGATAAGTTTTACCGATACGTTTTGACTGTACTTAGTCTTCATCAGCCGCAAAAATACATAATTACTCTATATATCAAAATTACATTAACATATTGTGAGAATCATTTCACATTCAAGTTACAATAGACGATATAACAAATTTATAAGGATCATCTCACGATCTCTTCGAGTTAACAATAGACGATATAGCATAACCATATTATATTTGGTCAATTTTGTTAAATAATAGACTAAATAGACGATGTAATGATAAATCATGAATCCAAACCACTTTATCGGTTAATAGCGAGAAAGGGCAGTTAATATGAGTAAAAAAAGAAAATTCCAGTCATATTATTGATGTAGCTTGACGTAAAATTATATAAGATGGCTGTACGTATATTAA